CCTGGAGCTATGGTGGGCACAGAGAACAGAGATGACTCAGACCAAGTCCCTTCCTACTTGGGCCTGAGGTTTTCCCTTTTATACCCAGTCTAGGTCATTCCTCATAGTAAGGGAGCAAAAGGTCTGGGGCAAAATCAGGTTGGGCAAAATCATGAGGCCTGCAGTTTGCTAAGGACATGATGGAGGTGAGGCAAGATGACTGTCCAGCCTTGGAGTGCGCTCCTCAGCGAGCCCTGCCTTCCTCTTCTCCTCTTCATCCATCACCCTCATTTTCAGCATTCAACTGTCAAATGTTGCCAACGCTGATGGATAATGAATGGAGATCCATGGGTGAAAGGTAATTTATCCTCTATTTACACGACATTGCACTGTTTGCTAAACCCTTCTGAGGATTCACTAGCTCATCAGATCCATACAACTTCCTGGTGAGTGGCAGGGCAAGGGTCATGCCCCTGCTATATATAGCTGAATAAACATGTTCCCAGAGAGGGTCAGTGGCTGGCACAGAGCTGTCCATCAGGTCAGTGGCAAGCTCTAGGACAAGGACACTGGACTCCTGACTCCTCCTAGTCTAATCCTTTCTCCATTCTGTCCCAATGTTTCTCCCGGTGATGCTCTTTAGGTAATACTGTTAATCAAACTTTAGTAGATGTATTCCAAGTTAATTTCTCATGGCTTGTAGTTCTGCTCCAGTTGTGACTAACAAGTTGTGGTATCAATTAATCAAATTTTCCACAAGGATGGGTATTTATAGTCTTTTGGTTGCAAGCTACATACATCCAACTCAAACTAGCTTAAGAAATAAATAAAATAAAAATCAAATAAAGGTTGGGGGGTTGTGGGTTCCCATAACAGTGTGGAGCCTAGTGGATATCATCAGGACTGTTTCTGCCTGGCTCCATTCTTTCAGGCTTCTACTGCATTCAGGCATTCTCCACTAGCCAAGGAAGATAAGACGGCTATCTACGGTTCCAGGCCTTCAACCTCCCAGTTTAACGCTCCCAGTGGAAAGAGAGCTTGTCCGAAATGGCACTTTTGATTTCCTTTGGATCTGCTACTACTAAATCCCTAGGGAGATGGGGGGAAATATCTGATAAAGTTACTAAAACTCTAGAGAAGTTTAAAAGTTCCCCAAAAGGTGTAATAATAATAAGTAAAAAAGTTAAATCCATGGCATCAGCTCTTTTGTACTCCATTTTGATATAAGGATGTTTTATAATCATTGGATTTATTTAAGTTTTATCTATTATTTATGGTATTTGAAATGTTCAAAAGGATCAGCTATACTAAATTTGTAACTGGTATTTATGTTTAAGGCAGTTTAATCAAATTTGTTATTGTTTAAATATTTAAGAGGTTTTCAATGTTTTATTGAATATGAGTTTAATAAATTGAGTACTAAAGTTTTATGTAGTAGTGCATATTCCTCTCAAGTCCAAAGATCCCTCAGACATTAAGCAATCTAAAAAAATACATGAAAATAAAATGGATCATTGGATTTTTTTTTTTTTTTTGGTGAGGAAGATTGGCCTTTACCTAACATCTGTTGCCAATCTTCCTCCTTTTGCTTGAGGAAGATTGTCCCTGAGCTAATATCCGTGCCAGTCTTCCTCTACTTTTTATGTGGGACGCCACCACAGCATGGCTTGACGAACAGTGTGTAGGTCCGCTCCTGGGATCTGAACCCGCAAACCCCAGGCCACTCAAGCAGAGTGTGTGAACCAGGCCGGCCCCATGGATTTTTTTTAATGATTATATAAATGATTATTTTAAAATTATTTTTAAGAGGTAAATTAGCAGTTCTCTGAACTTCATTTATTCTTTCATCATTATATGACTCGCAGTGTTATGATGAAACATATGCCCATTTGAAACTTTTTCAACAGTCAATTTGTTTTAAGAAAGCAGACTGACCTACTGGTGGAATTTGAGGAGTTAATGCTTAAACATTTTGCAAAATAAAGTAGTGCCTTAAGCATCCCAATGGAACAAACAGAAAGTCAAGTAAAAATCATAAATTAAAGCTATCACCTCATTTCATTAAGATAAATATTTGTGACCTCTCCAGCTACAATTAGAGAATAACTTCAAGGTGTTTTGAAACAAGAAATAAGATGTGCAGTGACAAGTACTGGAGCTGGTGTCAGACAGGGGTGATTCTGTGCATCCTGGCTCCTCTACTTAATAGCTAGCGCGTAATACGCAATCAAACCAGTCATGAGCATCTCTGCCCTGCTTCCCTCAATAGGTAACTATGTTCAAATGACAATCTGTAAAAGTGCAAAGGATTATTATTAATGAAGTTTTCTGGAAATAAAAGTTCTTATGAAAATCAAGAAAGTGCATCAAATCCATTTTTTGGAAGAAGTTAGGTACAAACTAGATATAAGTATGAGGATGCCTTAACAACAACAAAAAAAGAGTCACCACAATTAAGCTCTTTATTCATCTTCCTTGTTTCAAAGAGTCATGGTAGTTTTTACAGTACAGAGAGTACTTCTGGCACTTGGTATCACAGAGCCAAGCCACGCTCAGAACATGCTCAGCCCCAGCATCTCCCTTTGAGTCCTGGACGAGTGGCGGTTACAGAAAATCCAATCAGGGACAGAGGGGAAATACCAGTGAAATGAGAACCCCAAATGAAGGCTTGGCTTTGGGCTTGGGCTGTGATCCCTGGGACATTCCGGGCAGGACCAAGCTGAAGCCAGAGAAAAGCTCATTCCCAGGAAGTAATGGGACTGATCTGGAAGCAGGCCAGGACAGAGAAGACTCATTTAGGGCGAGTGTTCAGCAGGTTTAGCATGCTCTACAACCCATAGAGGGATGCAACATGCTCCTCCTTGTGGGGGAACTTGCCCTGACCTTCTCAATTGGCTCCAGAAGGCCAAGAGTCTTTGGCTCCTTTATTAATTCAGCATAACTTTACTGCTGTCTATTCTATGCCAGGCACCCTGTGTCGGGTGCAAAGACAGGAATCAGACACAACCCTTACCTTCAAGGAATTCAGAATATGATAGAAAAAGCATATATTTAAAAATAAGTCTTGTGATTCAAGGTAAAAAGGACAGAGAGGAGTCAGACAAACTTAGCCCTCAAGGAGTTCACAGCATACCAGAGGTCTAGAGAGCACAACACAGGCAACAATAATACAGGGCAGCCTGTGGTAAGGACCACAGGGAGGTCAGACTGTGCACTCTGGAGCATAAGGAAAGATGACACATCTACTGAATAACGCAGTGGGAAAAGTCACGGCCCACTGGAGAAGACTGAGCAGCCTAATCTGGCCAAAGTGAAAATATTGAATCCTACTGCCCTGGGGAGGAGGCTGTGTAGCCTCAGGCTGACCTCTGTGGGTCTCTGGGGCTACCCAACAGGCAGGGTGTAAGGTCTCTTACCTATGGCTGCCGTTTCATCATATCCTGTGGATATCTGAGGGGAGAACGGTGACCAGGAGAAACAGGTCCAAATAAAGCATCCAAATAACAAGGGCCTGAGGTAAATACTAGGAGCCGAGGAGTTAGGGAACCAGGAGTTAGGGAGCATGAGCAGGACCAGCAGGTTAAATGGGTGGGAGGCTGGTCTGGGTACATATCAGCAGCAGGAGGCCCCTACCTGTGCTTTCCTGCCATGTGTGCTGAATGGTTCCATTCTGAGGGTCCAAGGACAGGGTGGGGCCTGTGGGGGCAAAGGACCACAGACTATGTAGTCCTCTCCTCATGCCTCTAGATTACAGGCCTCCAGTCTGCTTTCCTCTTTTCTTCACAGCTACCATCACCTACCCTATCTTTTCCATTCTACCAACCTGAGAGTGGCTGCAATGGGCTCAGTTAGGGTACCAATATCATGGTATAAGTCGCAGGGCCCTGAAGGCCTTGGCTAATTGGCACAAACAGTTGGAGTGCCTACAGCTGTTTTTCTTGGTCACCTGGAGCATGGAGAAATTGAGCCAGCTTAAAGCAACGGGGTTGGGTAGGAACTTATCTGCAGCATAACCTGCTGGCCTGTGCAGGCCTCCTTCCTTTCCCACGTTTCAGGCAACAGCTCCAGCCTGTTGTCATTTCTTCTTCACAGTGGCCACCACCTACACCATCTCTCCAGCCTAGGGCTCATGTTTGTGCCACTTTCTCTCTCTTCCTAAAGGTGCCAGGACTCCTATCTGCCATTCTTTTTCTTCACAGCTGCCATCACCCACTCTGTTCCTCTCTCTAATCCTCATTATGGATTACCCGTCCCCAACCCTCTTTTCTTGCTTTTCCTGAAATACGCACATAGGCCCTTTGCCTTTTAAGAGTTTCACTGCCAGTCACTAAAAACAAGCAAACATGAGGCAAAGAGGAAAGAGAAAGGGGAGGGCAATTTAGAGACGGATGAGACATCTTCTGAGTACTGGTACTAGACATCTGGGGTCCACACTGCCATATGACTGAGGTCCGTTCCTTGACTCCCTTCTCAGATGGTCCCAAAGAGTCTTGATAGTCTCACTCTCTTCATCCTTGAGCCCTGGTTATAGAACTTAGCCCTCCTCCCTCTTCCTATCTATTTGGAGTAGGGTGCTCAGGAAAGCTTTGCTGAACAAGAAGTTTCTACTATTCAGGAGGGGGCTGCCCTTTTAATCCTCTCCCCTTCCCCAATTTCTCCCTGCATCACCAACACTGTCCACCCTCAAACCGCCCCAGCCCCCTCCACCTGCCAACTTGACAGAGGTCTTTTCTGACGGTGAGCTTCATATAAAGAAGTAGATGGGGTCGGCCCGGTGGCACAAGCGGTTAAGTGCATGCGCTCCGCTGTGGCGGCCCGGGGTTCGCCAGTTTGGATCCCAGGTGCACACCGACGCACCACTTGTTAAGCCATGCTGTGGCGGCGTTCCATATAAAGTAGAGGAAAATGGGCACAGACATTAGCCCGGGGCCAGTCTTCCTCGGCAAAAAAGAGGAGGATTGGCATTGGATGTTAGCTCAGGGCTGGTCCTCCTCACAAAAAAAAAGAAGAAGAAGAAGTAGAGATAAGTATTCATTATTTCACCCAAAATTTGAAGGTCCTACATGCCAGGCTACATGTAAACACCCTTAGTAGGCAATGAGGAACCACAAATGATTTTCAGCTGGGGAATGGCAAGAGAAAGTACCTTACATTATGCACTCAAGAAATATTTAGATAAATGTATAAATGAGTGAATGAATGATCATAACTGTGTATTGAAAAGATAACTTTGGCAAATGTATGAGAGGCTAAGGGAATTTTAAAAAGCCACTCTAAGCCATGGGCTTAAGCCATATGCTGAAGTAGGTGAAGTCAGTCTCTACTTTCATCCTGTAGGACTCTCCTCCATCTGATTGGTGCAACTGCAACCCCTAGCCCCCAGGCCATGTTCCATGATGAAGATTTGCTCTCTGGGGTCATTACCCAGCACCAAATATATTTAGCTGATACCAATTTAAGGCATTATCCTCATAAAATAGGGACAAAAAAGAAATCTCTCATGATAGAATTTCTGTCACAATAACAGGCTATGGGAGAAACAATCTAAAATAAGAGCAACCAATTTGGTATCATCTGAGAGAGCCAGCACTGGCAAAGTTCAGCCCCAAACCTATCAGACAAAGAGGCATCCCTACATCACAAATAGTGATTTCAGTAGGTCCAAACAAATAGGCCTGATTCAGAGGTTTGGGGGTCCAGAGACCTTCCTAATGTTGAAGACCTTCTCCACAGGTAAAGGAGTGGCTGAGCCAGGACAACATTCTGAGAAAAACAAACTTGGGGGGAACCCAGCAGCCTGGATAAGCCTGAGGCAGATGACTCCAGGCACAATGAAGATGCAACCAAGACAATGACATTAGGAGCTACCATCACACCAACTTCTACATCTACATCTACATCTTAGAGCCCAATATCTACAAACTATCCCACCAGCTGCACTTATTTTGTTAAATTTTCTCCCTCTTCTAGCCCCATAAACTGTGAGCTCCTTGTGGGCAGAGACTGTGAGAAGTTTTGTCCAATGCTTTAAAGTCCTAACCCAAGTCCTTTTTCCACCAGGAACCATCCTCATAAATGAACTTCAGGTTCGTCTCTCATAGGAGTAATGCCATCAGAAACAATAAGTACCACTATCAATAACCCCTGGCACCGAGCTTCTCATTTTCTCCCTAGGAAATACTACATTCTGGATGAGGAAGAGAAAGTTGAGCAGAGCTGCAAAGCTGGAGAAGGTAGGTGACCTCATGATTCTACTCTTTTGCCCAATTCCTCCAGGGTAGAGAGCCTGTAGAGCTCTGAGCATGATTAGAAGGGTGTGGGTATTTTTGATATTAAAAACAGAACAAATCATCCAGATCTTCCTTCATACCATGACACCTGCTTGTAACCTCACACTTGGATTAGTGGTGAGTCATTTGAAAAGATGAGTCCTCTGACTTCCATGTTGAGATCAGAGTCCTATATATGCAGCCAGGACTTGCTGATCATGCAGCATGCAGGTGCTCTGCCTTTCCTAGGGATGGGAAGTAGAGAAATCACAGATCCGATCTTCTCATTTTACAGATGGAGACCTGAGGCCCCGAGAGTTCAGGTGACATGTCCAAGGTCCCAAAGCAAGCAATGGGAGAACCAAGACCATATCATGGTCTCCTACCTGACAGTTCAGTCTCTTTCCACCTCAGTAGCTATGGCACAATTATCATTTTGCCCTCTGGAAAACGGGTAGTGAAAAAAGGTAGGGCGTAGAATCTTAAGTTTTTGGATTCTTTGTAGACTTCAGTAACCTCTGTTATCCTGACCTCCATTATCCTGGCTATGGTTGCCTTCCATGGTTTCCCTTCTATGGAAAGTTGAGTCCTAAGCCAACTAGTTTTGAATTGGCTCAGAGATCCTACCAGGGCTGGTGCAGTCTCCTTGCACATGGCTCAGGATCTCTTGGACTGTAAACAGACGGAAGGCAATCTGCTCACACTCCCGCTTGATCCCACACTCAAACAAACACGCAAACAAGCCCTCCTTCTCCAGAGCAGCCAAATCAGAGTAGCCACAGGGCCCACAGTGCAAGATCCAGGGGTGGGACCAACAGGCAGCCTCCAAGGGGGTCTGGTTGAGGTAGATGCCTAGGTTGACTCTCCGTTTCTTACTGGTTGGGTGTGAGTACAAGAGCCATGATTCTGACAGTGTTCCAGCTTCCTTCTCCAGCCTCAGTGAGCTGTCCAGCAGAGGGTTCTGCTGAATGGTAGGAAGATCTTGGCCACTAGGGTCCTGGCACCTATGTGGGATCTCCAAGGGCCGGAAACTTACCACACTGCCTTGGCAGCCATGTGGGGGCTCACAGAGCTGCTGGCTCAGAGCTGGTCTCTCAAAGCATTCACCATGGTCAGCGCTGAGAGCCTCTGCCCGGCACCTTTTTGGTGTCCGGGCACTGCAATATAGCACTGAGTGACCGGCCCCTCCGGTCACCTCTGCCACTTCGCACTCCACTGTCACCATGGGCTTAATGAGCCTGCCATGGTGCCATGTGGCCCCTAGGTCATCACTGTAGATCATCAGGGAATGAGGCCTGGCTTTACATGGTAGCCGGAAGCAAAAGAACCGGTAAGGGAGGTAATAGGCATATGCAGGGATGACCAGCCTCCCCGACTGCAGCTGGATGCCATGACCCGGGCCCACAGCAAACGTGGCCCAGTGCTTCACTTCTGAGCCAATGACCTCCTCAGTCAGGTCCCTCACCTCGCTCCACGAACAGCCAGCATCCTGACTGCAGATGAAGCAGAGGCGGGCAGCATTCCTGCCTGACACAATCTGTTGACGCTCAGTGACATGGCCCCGCACACAGATGAAGAATAGGTAGACACAGCCACTCTTCTGCTCCCACACAGGACAGGGGTTCATGGTCCGATGCCCAGGTAATGTGGCTTCCATCAGGGGCTTCAGGGGTCCCCACTAAACAAGGGGAAGAGAGAGAGAACAGGAGTGAGAGACTAATAGGAAGACATGAGGCTCATTAAAAGCGTTAGTACTTTTCAGAGATAAGAAATAAATGATACTGAAATCTATAAAATCGTGAAGGCCCAAGTATTCACTGAATTCTCAAATAATATAGGATGATTTATAAAGCTGGAAAGAGGCAACACTAGATATTGTACATGCTGTCCCCTCCGTCTGGAACACTCTTCCTCACTTTGTCTAGATGCCCATTTTATCCTCCAAAACCCAACTCAAATGTCACCTCCTTTATGAAGCCTTCTATGAAACTCCCTCCCCTCCCCCACCAAAGGCAATCAGTGGCTTCCTCTTTATACAGACAGAAGAGTTATAGCACTTATTATAATTTTATGTCACTGGCTCCCTTCCTAGACTATGAGTCTTTTGATGGTAGAAACTGAACTATTCTACTTTTGTATCTCCAGTGCCCAGCACATGATAGGAGCTAAATAAATATTTTTAAAAAGAAAGAAAGACCAAAAAAAAAAAAAAAAAGAGGAAAGAAGAAAAGAAAGAGAAACAAAAAAAGAAGAAAAGCAAAACAAGGAAGATAAATATGGAAGTTTTAGGCAAATAAAGGGAAATTTAAGACAAAGAATTTTTTTCCTTCCTCTTCTACCCTGGGGAGGCAATTCATAACAGCATCATTAAAAACTCAAGCACGGAGTCAGAGACACCTAGTTCAAACCCTGCCTTCCTCACTTATCATGTGACCATGGACAAGTTAATCTTATTTTACCTCAATTTCTCCATCAGTTAAATGGAGGATGTAACAACATGCTCAAATAGGAGTTGTTGTAAGGATAAAATGAGATACTGCCTAATCAGACATATCACATAGAAAGGCCTAATCTCCTTAACGTATTTTAAAAAACAATATTTGAGGGGCTGGCCCAGTGGCATAGTGGTTAAGTTCCCTCACTCCACTTCACTGGCCCAGGATTCACGGGTTCAGATCCTGGGTGCAGACCTATGCACTGCTCATCAAGCCATGCCGTGGGAGCGTCCCACATACAAAATAGAGGAAGATTGGCACAAATGTTAGCTCAGGGACAATCTTCCTCAAGCAAAAAGAGAAAGATTGACAACAGATGTTAGCTCAGGGTCACTCTTACTCACCCCAAAAAATAATAATAATAAATAAATAAATAACAATACTTGAAATTGGTAAGAAAATTTCCAGAAATCCAATAGAAGTGGGCAAAGAACAAGATCAGACAACTCACAGAAAGATAAAAACAAAAATAGGTTCAACCTCACATATAAAAAAGAAAAGCAAATTAAAATTAAATTGACATAGTATTTTTCATCTAAAACCTTGGCAACATCATAAACCTAATAACACTCTGTTGGAAAAAATGTGAAGAAACCAGCAATCTCATATATTGATTGGAGTACAAAATGGTTCAACACTTAGATAGGACATATCAAAATTACAAATGCATTTATCCTTTCCCAGCATGCCCAATTCTTGGAACTTATCCTAAAATATATCTGCTCATCTAATTAAGTATGTATAAGATTACTCACTGTGGCATTGCTTGAAACAGCAAAATATTGTGAACAACCCAAATATTCATCAGTAGTGGACTAGTTAAATGAATACACAATGTAAGAGGGGAAAAAAGAAAAAGGAAGAAAGATCTCCATAATATATTGTTAAATGAACAAAGCAAAATACAGAACAGTGTATATACATGCTACTTTTTGCATAAGAAACTTGGAGGAAAAGGACTTCCAATTACAGCAAACTAGGTAATTTGAACTTCCACTGAGAACTAGAATAGATAAAATACTAAAACAAAACCATCTGTTAGAAAGCCAACAAGATAATGAAGAATTACAGGCCAAGAACTCGAGACGTTAATTCAGAAAGGTTGGCCTGGTACTTCGAGTCCCTTTTCCCCTCAGGGTATCTCCACTAATTATCAACGAGGTAACCGAAAGGAGGAGAGGCTGAGCAATCCACTTGACAGCCTTGTCAGGCTGGGAGGACAAAAATTAGAGGCCCTGGTAAACCCTCTACTATGAGTGGAGGAACCTTTGATTTGGAACCTTAATGGGGTAAATCCCAGGAGTAAGGGTGAAACCGAAATAGATCAACCCTCATAGCCACTAGAAAACTGGCTAGCATTATCTACTGAAGTGGAACATAAACATGGCCTATGATCCAGTAATTCCACTTCCAGATATAAACCCAACAAAAATGCTCACACATAGTACCGAAAAACTTGCACAACCTAAGCGCCCATCAAGAGATGAATGGATAAAGATGTGGTATATATACACAATGGACTACTACTCAGCCATAAAAAAGATAAAATCTTGTCATTTGTGACAACATAGATGAAACTTGAGGGTATTATGCTAAGCGAAATAAGTCAGACAGAGAAAAACAAATACTGTATGATTTCACTCATATGTGGAAGATAAACAAACACACACATGGATACGGAGAACTGATTGGTGGTTACCAGAGAGGAAGAGGGTGGGGGGAGGGCGAAAGGGGCACATGTGTATGGTGACAGAAGTAGACTTTTCGATGGTGAACATGATGTAATCTATACAGAAGCTGAAATATAATGATGTACACCTGAAATTTATAAAATGTTATAAACCAATGTTACCTCAATAAAAAAAAAGAATATTCAGACCAGCATTAACTATACACATAAAAGCTAACTCAAATAAGCAACAACAGTAGAATGGATCAATTAATTGTGTTACAGTCATACAATGGAATATTATGTAACAATGAAAATGAACAAATTATAGCTGTACACAATTTGGATAAACCTCAAGAATATAATATATTGAATGAAAGAAACCAAACATAAAGAATACACAGATTAAAAATAAACAAAACTAAACTCTAGAGCTATAAATCAGGGTAGTAATTACCTTTGGGAAGGAGAGAGGGGGCATAAGAGAAGCTTCTGAGGTGCTGGAGTATTTATTTCTTGAGCTGAGTGGTGAGTCCACAAGTGTTGGCTTTGTCAATTCACAGGGCTGACATTTGTTTTGTGCATTTGACATTTATGTTTTATGTTTTCTGCCTATGTGTTATTGCTTCACATTAAAAAAAATTTGAAAAGGGAGTATTAAGAATATATACTTGGGGGCTGGCCCAGTGGCGCAAGCGGTTAAGTGCACGCGCTCCACTGCGGCAGCCTGGGGTTCACCAGTTCGGATCCCGGGCGTGCACCAACACACTGCTTGGCAAGCCATGCTGTGGCGGCGTCCCATATAAAGTGGAGGAAGATGGACATGGATGTTAGCCCAGGGCCAGTCTTCCTCAGCAAAAAGAGGAGGATTGGCAGATGTTAGCACAGGGCTGATCTCCTCACAAAAAAAAAAAAAAGAAGAATATATACTTGTATTTCTTTGTTTCTGTATGAAGCACTAGAAGGGTGCATAAGAAACAACAGTGACAGCCTATAGGAAATAGAAGACTAGGAATGCAATCTATACCTTTTTATATTGTTTTTATTTTTCAGCCATATAAATGTATTAACTATCCAAAACAAAAAATAAGATTTAAAAAAAATTTTAATTCCGGCATGAATGGGCAAAACATTATTAAGCAAAGCTCAAATCATAGAATCTCACAGTCACAAGGATCTAGTGCTAACTCACATCCTACAGAAGATTCTCCTCTAAGTCTTCTGGATAAAGGCCATTCAGTCTCTCCTTGAACCAGTCTAGGGACAGGGAACTCATTACCTCTGCGGCAGTCCATTCTATACTAGAGTACCTTGTATACTGTAAACACTTCAAACATATGTGCCAAAGTCAACTTAATTATTGGGCAGTCTAGTCGTTGGGAAGTCAGAAGCTCAACCATCCTTACTGGCTGAAGGGAGAAAATGATTTGGGCCAGATATGTCTAATATAAAGTTGACATGAAGCTGGAAGAAACAGTAAACAAAACAGGAAAGCATTAGAATCTAAATGATCTCTGGAGCAATGGGACATAAACAAGCTGAGGCTTGACAGAGATACAACAAGTCTTGGGTTTAAAAATCTGGATGGAGAAACGTGATTAAAGAACAGCAAATGTAATGGCCAACAAGCATATGAAAAATACGTACTCAACATTGCTAATAATTAGGGAAATGCAAATCAAAACCACAATGAGATATCACCTCATATCAGGATGGCTACTATCAAAAAAAAAAGTGTTGGTGAGGATGTGGAGAAATTGGAACCATTGTGCACTGTTGATAGGAATATAAAACGGTGTAGTCACTGTGGAAAACAGCAGGCAGGTTCCTCGAAAATTAAAAATAGAATTACCATGTGATCCAGCAATTCCACTTCTAGGTATATATCCAAAAGAATTGAAAGCAAGGTCTCCAAGACAGCACACCTTGCACACCCATGTTCATAGCAGCATTATTCACAATAGCCAAAAGGTTAGAGCAACCCAAGTGTCCATCAATGAATGAATGGATAAACAAAATGTAGTATACACAACACTGGAATATTATTCAGCCTTAAAAAAGAAGGAAATTCTGTTATATGCTACAATATGGATGAACTTTGAACCTTATGCTAAGTGAAATAAGCCAATCACAAAAAGACAAATACTGAATGATTCCACTTATATGAGGTATCTAAAGTAATCAAATACATAGAAACAAAGTAGAATGGTGGTTGCTAGGGACTGAGGGAGGGGGAAATGAGGAGCTGTTCAATGGGTACAGAGTTATAGTCATGCACAATGAAAAAGTTCTAGAGATCTGTTGCACAACAATGTGCATATAGTTAACAATACTGTAATGTACACTTAAAATGTTTAAGATGGAAAATTTTATATTAGGTGTATTTTACCATAATTAAAAAAAAAGGAACAAATGTGAAAAAGACTTGGAGATCTTAGCTGACCATCTACTTAATATTAGTCAACTGTGTTATGCAGCTACCGAAAAAGTAAATGCTACTTTACCTCAAGCTGCATTAAAAAAAGGAAACAAGATGGGATAGCCACCCGATTGCTGAGCCAGTCAATCTATCCTTGGGGTCCTAAGTTCAACTCTGAGTACCATTCTTTGAAAAAGGACACTGATATCCCAGACCAGATCCCAAGGACAGTAATCACAGTTTTCAAGGCACCAGAAACCAAATCAAGACTATGGCCTAAGGAGCCACTAACAGAACTGAAGCTACTGAGCCCCAAAAACAGAACACTCAGAGGGCATGGAACATCACCTTCAGGTACATCAAAGAGTAGTTCTCTGGAAAAAGGACTTTATCTATATTATGTACAGACTGACAGCTCCAGAAGGCAGAACAAGACCAACGGGTAATTACAGAGAAGTAGAGATCGTCTCATTCCAAAAAAAAAGTTAACAGTTGCCACAGGATTAAGTTTATTTGAGGAGGTGTGTAAGCAGATCCTTTATAGAAGATGACTAATGTTGAGTTCCTACTATGCAACTGCTATTATTAATTACATTCTGCAGATGATGAAACAGAGAAGAGTCAAGTATTCAAGGTCACACAGCCAATAAATGGTAGGTCTTGCCTCACTCCAAAGCCATACTCTTAACCACTAAGCTATTAGTAGCTACCAATGGAATACAGAAGATTTCTATACTGAGAAAGAAGTTGGGCTGATGATTCTTCTAATGTCAAAATTCTACAATTAAGTCAGTCAGAGAATGAAAGTGAATGAAATAAAGAGAACAGAGAATGAATGAAAATGGACATATTTATGAATATGTGTGACTGCTGGGTAGTGAGGTTATGCAACAGGTATGGTCTGATAAAAATTACTTAACAGCCCAACTGTCTGTAACAGAAAGCAGGGCAACATGACCACAGGCAATGCCGGTCCTGGGGGAAACAAAAGAGCTAGAACTCCAAGCTGGGCTCCAAGCTGGGCTGCAGGGCTGGGGCTCTTTGGAGGCCAGTGATACAAGCAGAGGTTTGGTCCTAGGAAGCCATGAGGAAGACTCACGACAAGATAAGGTGAAAGAGCACGGACTGTGAATTCCCTAAAGTAAAAAACTTCCCCACAGGGAAATGTGAGCAAGTCATCAAAAGCAAAGACAGGGGTTGCTGGCAAGGCCCCCCTTCAGCAGAATAGCATTTGCACTGTAACAGCGAAACAAGGCATCCCTATAGACATGAAGTTTCAATGGTGCGATTTCCGTGGGTAGAAGAGCAGGACAGGTTAGGGGATTAAATTACCTACTATAAATACAGATATGTGTGTGTTTGTTTGTTTGTTTACAAAAGACTCTCAAATCCATTGTCTCATTTGATCCTCACTTCAGCCAGCTCTGGGAGATAAAAGAAGGCAACGATAAGAAAAATGGCATCTGCAACAAGCCAGCAGCTCACAGGCCCAAGGGCAGCAACCATCTTTTTCCCCATTAAAAATGCAGTAAAAATGTGCTACTTAGGGGCAAGGGCTCCAACTCCAGTTCTGCCACTTCATAGGTGTGTGCCCAAGGCAAGTCCCTTTAATTCTCAGCCCGTTTCCTCCTGTAAAATGGGGATAATAATATGTACCTCACATAAAGCATGTAGTAGGAGGAGGGGTAGGAGGAGGAGTATGGTTGTTGTTATCCTCCCCACAACATCTGCCAGCTGTGGTCTTGAACAAGCTACCAACCTCTTGGAGCACCAGGATCCCTCATCAGCAAAACTGGACTAACAACACTTACTTCCCTGGGTAACTTAGGAGGATAAAAGAGAATGTGAACAGGGTTCAGCCCAGTGGCGTCGTGGTTGATGCCACTCTGTTTCAGCGGCTTGGGGTTCGCAGGTTCAGATCCCGGGCATGGACCTATTCACCACTTATCAAGCCACACTGTGGCAGGTGTCCCACATATAAAGTAGAGGAAGATGGGCACGGATGTTAGCTCAGGGCCAATCTTCCTCACCAAAAAAAAAAACGAGAGAGAATGTGAATGAAAAGCATACCACATGTTAGTTGAATCTGAATGAGCCATGGAGGCCTCTGGAGACAGAGACCAAGTTTGACACCTGCTTCTACTGCTTTATTATAGCTGTGTGACCTTGAGCAAGTGGCAACCTCTCTGAGCCTCAGTTTCCTCACCTGTAAAACGTGACTGACAACAGTTCCTATGTCACAGAGTGGCTGTGAGGATCCAGTGTGCCCCCGGCACACAAAAAGTACTCAGCGAAAGCCACTGCTTTTACTGTTTTTCCTTCCTCAGCTCCCACATAGGGCTTTTCCTGCTCTCATGGGAAAGGCACAGACCCTGAAGTGCTCTGAGCAACGTGGAGAGAAACTGAAGCCCAGGCCCAGATCTGGGATGAGGAGTCACCTGTACTGAGTGTCCAGTCCTCAACCCTCGCCTCAGCACCAGGTGGAGAGCATCCTCATCCCTGCACGAGGAGCGCTTCTCTGCAAAGGCCAGGAAGGTGTGGGTGGGGGGCACGTAGAGCAGGGCTGGGATTCGGTAGGTGATCCCTCTCTTGTCTTCCTGCTGGAACAGGGGGCTGCTGAAGGAGCATGATGTCACTTCTTCCATGACCTCTGTAAGGAGAGGAGGCAGCTAAATGTCTGTCCATACCCAAATGCTGGCTTGTATACAAGTTCTGCTCTATCATTCCTTTTCTAAAGATCACAGACAGGGAGGCACAGATGGACTCAAATGTTTACTTTTTTACACAAAGGGAACATCATGGTCTTAACAGCACAAAGCAAGCAATATGCATTCTCATTTAACAAATCTATCCTCCAGAATTTGTGGGAATCCTACGCAGCCTGTGTCAAGTGTATCTCTCCAGAGAGATTCTGCATGTGCTTCTGCCAAGCATCCAGGGGTATTACCGGCCCAGATGGTTTCTAATGTCAATATTTTGGCTTGGAGTTTTTAGGCCATTCGGGTAATATAAATATAAACCCAAATCCATATGAGGGAATGCCTGTGGTTAGGAATTCTCTGGGAAAACTATTTCCCTCTACTGGAGCCTAGGATAAGCGGCAATCTTGGTCAGCTCTCTGAGTCAGCAGTGAGAATTTTTTTTCCTAGTCCACCTTATCACAGGGCGTAGATTTTCAAGAGACTTCATGCAGGGATCTCAGCTCTAACTAGAGTCTAACCCATGTGGGCCCATAGTTTCATTCACTGTAACAGCAGGTCTATTCAAGCCCAAGCATCTAGGTAAGTGAGGCCAGCAAATATCAAGGGCAGCTGAGGTCAGGTTAAGGGACTAACTACTCTGGTTTTCAGTTTACTCTTGGTTTTTAGGCCCCCGGGGATTTCTCTTACTTTCTTGCAAATTCAGCTATAAAGGACTTTGTTATATTTTATCCACCATTTTACAGGTTAGCTAGCCTGCCATAATGCTGAAAATGGAGGTCTCCAGGTACACTTCTCAAAGAAAATCAGGTGTTCTACTTCTCAGAGGCCAAAAAGGGAATCAAGCCAGACAAAAAGAACTTTAAATTCTTCTTTTTCCTCAAACCATCTACCATCAGGCTCTATCTTACAAATTGTTTGTAAAAATTATCAGGCTGTAAGAACAAGGTCCGTAAGGGCTTATTTTTTTATTTTATAAATATTTCTGGGTGCTTACTCCAAGCTAGGTAGATGCTGAGAAGAAAGAGAGGAATCAGAGGTCCCTGCCCTCAAGAAACCCACATCCAAGTGAGGGAAACAGGCGTACACATGGACAATTACAATATCATATACTAAGTGGTACTTCAGAGGTAAATACGAGAACATGCTGGAAAACAGAAAAGGGGCATCTGTCCGGATCAAGGCAGCAGAGAATTTTTGGAGGGGTAGTAACTGAGCCAAGCAAGCTCCTGTCTCATAGCCTTATACTGTGTGCCTGGAATATTATTCTTTCAGACAGCCAGAGCTCACTCCCTCACCTCCTTCAGCTCTGTTCAAACGTCATCCAATCAGTGAGGCTTTCCCTGACAACTCTCCTGCCCCTCCCTCTCCCCTTTCCCTGCTCTGTGCTCCATACCACTTACCATCCATATATTACACTTGTTTACTATATACTACAGAATGGAAGCTCCATAAAGGGCAGGGATATGTCTGTCTTATTCACTGCTACACGTCTACACCTGGAACAACGCCTGGTACATGATAGGCGCTCAACAAATATTTGTTGAATGACTGAACGAGTGAGTGAGCTGGATCTTAAAGGATGAATAGTGAGTTAGCCAATTGAAGGGTGAAAAGGAGAAGGGCTGAGGGAGAGGATGTGAAAAGACTATAGGTGACAGAAAACATAGTGAGCCGTGGGGACTCTTAGTAGGTCAGTATGACTAGAGAGGAGCGCAAAAGCTGTGAGCAGAGATGGGACTGAAGGGATCAGCAGCGTCCAGATCCTGGGAGGCTCTGACACCTTATGAAGGTGTTTATCACACAGTTACGGAGCCACTCAAGAATTTTTGGGAGAGGAATGGCATGATCAAGTATGCATTTTAGACCAATCTCTCAGGCAGCCTTGTGGGCAATGAACTGAAGGGGAAAGGTGCACTGCTTCTGGCGACAGCCTCCTAGTGTCAACCAAGACAAACTTTCATCAGTAGCATATGAATGATTCACTTAGTCACTTGTTTCTAACTTAAAGAGAGAACCATGGCTCACTATCATGAAGGGAGTAGGGATGTGGTCTCCTGAGTCCAGAAGGAAAGCCTCCCTTCGCTCCAGTTCTGAGCTCTCAATAGCAGAACTGAAAGAAAGGCAAGGGTGAACTGTCTTCTTCACACAATACTAGAGCACACCTCTCTCTCCCCAAATCAGGCTCTCTCGTCAAGAAGACTCAGGCTTTCTTCTAAGTAAAGAGCTATCCCTGAGCCAGGCTGGTATATGGTTAAAAACATAGGATTTAAACCAGGACCAGGACTCCACGGCCTTGGGCATGTTATTTAACTTTTCTATGCTTCAGGGTCCTCACTGATAAAATTCAGCAGAGTGGTTGAGAGAATTAAGTTAAAAGTTTAAGTGGCTGTTCCAGAGCCTATGACATAGTATGATATCAATATATGAGTTATTATTTTTAGACTGTCAATCATATTCTAGTTTTATTCCTTGAAACCTGTGGATGATGATGATGATAACAATTACAACTCCCCTCTACACCTCTGGGAGAGATCCTATTTTAAACTCTTATAAGCTAATTGTTTAATTATGAGTTAATATCAACACTATTAATTAATCAGCCAACACATGATTATTAGTTAACATTGAAAGAGGAATTCTTTGGGTGACAAGATGAATGGAACACAAGATAGGCACGGAGTGGGGAGGAAGGACTAGGAAAAAAGAAAGGGGCGGGGAGAGAGGGCACCAAAGGAGAAGCACAACTTGTCATATGGGACTGGATTCACGTCCCAGCTCCTCTTCTTACAGTGTGACCTTGTGCCAGTCACTTAATCTCTTTAAGTCTTGATTCCTTGCTTGTAAAATGTGGATAACAAGAACACCTACCTAAGATGATCGATATTAAGAACCACTTGAAAGTGCCTTATGAACTTTAATGTACTATATAAGTCTTTATTATAAATTTTGATGTCTTCACAATTTCACTGTGGCTTTGCTATCACTATAACAATTAGAGTCACTATCATTATTTTTTCTTAATTATGGTTATGATGATCATGTTGATGACAGTGTTAACACAGTGGCTCTGGCACTGACACCCAAACTATTTCACACAAACCTTATGCTGGGCACTAGGGATGGAGAAGAATCAGATATGGTTCTCCTTTGGAGTTGTTCATTTTAGCAGAGAATTCAAATTATTAATTGCTGCTCCATGTAATCACCTTGCAATCAAGTCCTCCCTGCTGTCTTACTGGGAGAGAGTACAGTGGAGCAGGGACTTTGAAATCTGACTTAGCTTTGACACTTACCAACAAGTCACTACCTCTGAGTCTCAGTTTTGTCACCTGTAATGGGAACAACACCCCCTATTTCTCAGACAATGTAATGCCACAGACTCCAATTAATCCAGTGCAGCAGGCAGCCTCCAGTCAACCCCAGAAGGAGGCCTCCCTATCTCACGTAGTCACTCCTAATAACTAATATTTAAGGAGCATCCATCCCATGTGAGCCCTTTGGAGGTCCTGTAGTCCAAACCCCTCTCACGGCAGAAATGGGACACCTGGCCCACAGAGGGGAAGGAACTCATCCAAGGCCACTCTGGGAGTTGGTAGCAAAACCTGGACCCCTAAATTCCAGCCCAGGGCTCTCTGTGGCCCAGAGACCCCCCTCTAGGAAGAACGGTTTTCCCAGTTTAAGTTCCCTCTCTTCTTTAAAATCCTAGTTCTAAGGTTTAGGTTTGGCTTCAGTGGAAGGAAAATAAAAACAGAACTAGCCAAGAACATTCTCTGGCCGTGTCTGAGATCCGGCCGACGGGGTGGCTCTGACTCCACATTCGCCCCGAGCGGACTTCCTGAGCCCGACGGTGCTGCTGAACGGCCCCAGTCACAGCGCCCGCTGGTCGGGGGTCTCCAGTCTCCCGGCCCCGCTCACCTGCGCGCGACCCCGGCTCCGCGCCTGTCTCGGGGCAGCTGGGCGCGAGGACAGGCCCTCGGGTCTCGGGCACCGAAGCCCCGGAGGACGACCCGGCTGGGGAGACGGAGGCAGGAGGGAGAGAGCCGGCGGACACGGCCGACGAAGCGCAGAAAGACGGAGACAGCGGCGCCGAGAGGCCCAGACCAGCAGGAGGGCAGGCGGGGCGGGACGCGCGGAGGCCGTTGGCCCGGCCGTTGGCCGCGGGGCAAGTCAGCCCCGCCCCTCTCCTGTCCCCGCCCGCCCCCTCGCCGCCCCCTCGCCGCCCAGCCACGGACGCCCGCCCTCTCCCCAGCCCGCAGTCCTGTCCAGCCGCGGTGAGGCACCTGCCCCTTCTTCTCCCACCACCCCTTCCAGCCCAGGCCCAGGTTCAGCTCAGGCCCTGGGCCTACCGCGACTCCCAAGAGCCTCGCAGCTCCCTGGCTCCGCCCCCGCTTCTATTTCCTCCCCTGCCCTCTCTCTTCAGCCCCTATCCCCACGCTCTTGTCTATTGGCTGCCGGTCGGTTGATAGGTATCACCGCCTAAAACTTCCCTGGATAGCCCGAGAGTCAAGCAAAGGTTCCGGGCGTCAGAGAGGACTCCACAAAAACGACTCGAGATCCAGAACACTGGGCCACACGTCCCCTAAAATTATTTATATGTTATATATGTGTGCGCGTGTATATATATGGAGAAAATAATAGTATTAGATTATAACCTACTGAATAAAATAAAAACCCATAAGTCCATATTGATATAATTGAATAGTGAATAAAAAATTGGGGAGAAGGGGGGAGGGAGGAGGGCGAAAGGGATAATTCAGCACATGTGTGTGCTGATGGGTTGTAATTAGTATTTGGGTGGTGAACATGATGTAATCTATGCAGAAATAGAAGTATAATGATGTACACCTGAAATTTATACACTGTTATAAACCAATGTTACTGCAATAAACAAAATATTAAAAAAAAAAAGATTACTGTATTATGGTTTATCCAAGTCTAAAAAAAAAAAATTGGGGAGAAAGGACAGCTCTTCCTATAGTAGAATTCCAATTAATAAATGTAGACTGTGTGCAGACTGAACACAATATGCTTATGCTAAACGCCTGCTTTCCTTCTGGGAGTCTGGAGTTTTGCTACACACCAGGCAGAGGGTGCCCACATGACCAGCCCCCAGTAAAAACTGTGGGTGCTGAGTCTCTAACGGGTTCCTAGGCAGAAACACGGCGCACACGCTGCATTTTCATTGCTGGGGGAAAGGGCGCTCAGTCCCATCTCTCATGGGGCAGTGGGGAGCATAAGAAAGCCTCCACATGGATTCCTTCAGACCCCGCCTGTGTCTTTCTCTCTTAGGATCCAATGTGCGTCCTTACTGCATCGCTATAATAAATCTCAGCTGTGAAGACAACCATATGCTGAGTCCTGTGAGTCCTTCTAGCAAATCTCTGAACCTAGGAGTGGTCTTGAGAACCCTCAACCAAATACCATATATAAAGTTTTAAAACAATACCATATATTGTTTATGGACACATATGTCTGAAGAAAATGCATACGAATAATAAATATCAAATTCAGGGTAGTAGTTACTTCTGGGAGTGCAATAAGTAGGATGTGATTAAGGATACTGAAAGAACTTCAATTGTATAATTTTTTTTAAAGGTGGCAATGGGTTCATGAATGTTCATTTCATTATTCTTTAAACCTTATTATTTGTCTGAAATATTTCATTTTTAAAGATCGGCTCATACAAAGTCTTAGGGTTCTTCACCAGACTTCCCCAAATTCACAATCACAAACTCGGTGGATCACCAAGTCAATTTAGAAAAACATCTAAAGCTAATGCCAAATCTCTCAATTCTTCTTTGGTGGTTTGTCTTACACCTGAGGCAGTGAGGTCTAGCAGCAATCTCTATATTTAGAAGTGAAGAGATCTTGGCTCCAATCCTGACTTCCCATTTCCTACCGGAGTGACCTTGGCATGTTATTTAACTTCTGTACCTCAGGTTCCTCATTTGCAAAATGGGCACACTTAGCCCTACTCCTCATTCATGGCTCGGACCAAACAGGTTTCACTTCCTGTATGAGGACCTCCCAGGTCTCCATGCTAAAACAGTTACTCCTCTTCCAGCCTCCACAGCACTTTGTACAGATGGCTTCTGATGAATTTTCTGAATTTGCCACTCCATCAGCCACTCTGATTAATCTGACAGAAATGGGAACCAAATCCATTCTAATGGTCTCATACAGCATTTAATTAAAGATACTATCAACAGAACTCCAAGCAACAGGATGAGACCAATCTGCAGAATTGACCTCAACCACATCCAAGGGCCCACACCCAATCAGCTGGAAAAACAAACCACCACCACCAAAAAACAATCATAAGCCATCAAGGTCTACCTTAGAAAGCCAAGTGGCATTCTCTAGTGGCTGTATTGATGTCATACCCGGCCTGAGGCATTAATCCAGGTACAGCAGGATGTATTAGTGATTGCCGACTCTACCTTGGCCCACAAGGAAGTCAAGAGCAATTCTATCATCCATAACCACATTGGCCAGTGAGCTGAGGCGCACCTGAATGCCTGCCTTCCAGGATTCAAGTGGTATCATTGATGGCTTCAGCTAAAGTCAGGAATGAATTTCATATCAACGTTTCTAACAGGATGACTCTCAAGATAGGGATAACCTCCTGCAAAGTGTGCCTAAATGAGTCAGGCACCCCTCCAGGAAGCTCCCCCTTGTAACCAAGGGCAGCCTCATTTTGGAGCAATCTCCACAGTCATCTGAGGGCAAAATGATCTATTTACTGGTGGTGCTTCCTTAAACATCTTAAGGTTGCTTATGACCCTCCCTATGGTGCAAGGCACCATGTTTTCAGGGAGGAAGACAAGTTAACACCTGGCTTCCACACAGGAAGTACAGTCCTGAGGGCATATATGATGCCCCTGTTTACAACTGTTGGGGCCTCCCAAGTGGGACCTACATTATTCAGGGGACACAGGTCGACAGTGTCGCTAACGTGGCCTCTTGGCCACCTGGTAGGTAGGCCCCCGAGTTCCCAGTTCACTTAGAATAACTGAAACCAGTCCTTATTTTTGGCAAGACTGCCTGATGGCAGTTAGTCCAACCTGTCCCATATGTCCATGCCACCAAGCAGGTGGCATTTGTCCACCCCACAGGATGACTGGACAATAGCTACAAGAATGGGGGGGAGGGAGACGTCTAGATGCTGTGACGAGTGTTTTGCATGAGACATACAGGAGCTGAAAGTGCACCTGATGTTTCGATGGACTTCTCAGTAGGTTAAAGGGAACAGCCATCAAACTGCGGTCAGAGCTATCTGGTGGGGAATGGCAAATCCAACAGTCAGTCAAATTTAAGGAACTTGCAACAGTCTGAGAGAGTTGTACTAGGCCGTTTTCCTTTGAGAGGAGGGCTCCAGGGGTGACTCTGTTTCCAAATGTTATGCTCAGGGACTGTGTCAAACTCACAACAGAATCCAGGTGGCTTAACTAGAATCAAAGGTAAATACTCCAGGTCTCCTTCTGGCTAGGCTGCCACCTGGAGGGTATAGCAACAAGGCTGGCCTGGGGATGATGCTGTTAAGGCAAAGAAAACATCATGCCCAGCAATGGTCAGAGCAGAACAGTGAATTTTCACAATACCTCTATACAACACTCCCCATCCCCTTTCATTCTGATCGTTACTCAGTAAGCAGCTGTGATAGTTAATTTTGTGTCGACTGGGACACAGGGTCCCCAGATATTTGGTTAAGCATTATTCTTGGTATGTCTGAGGGTATTTCTGAATGAGATTACAATTTGAATCGGTAGGCTCAGTAAAACGACTGTCCTCCCCACTGTAGGCAGACCTCGTCCAATCTGTTAGAGGCCTGATTAGAACGGAAGTCAGGGTAAGGGAGAATTCACTCTCTCTGCCTGTTTTCAAGCTAGGACATCAGTCTTCTCCTGCTTCTGGACTGGAATTTAAACCACCAGTTCTCAGGCCTTTTGACTCAGACTGGAGTTACACTGCTGGCTCTCCTGGGTCTCCAGCTTACAGATGGCAGATCATGGGACTTCTCTGCCTCCATAATCATGTCAGCCAAATCTTTAAAATACATCTCTTTATATATACATACACATATCCTATTGGTTCTGTTTCACTGGAGAACCCTAATATAGCAGTGAAGAGGAAGTGACTGCTTTCTGGGAACAGCCACCTTCAGTGACCAAACTGCCTTACTAAGGTATTGACCAGGATGAGCTAAGAGAAGCAGAGTCAGAAATCTTTTGAGTACATTTTTTGAGTAGGCTGTTTCAACACTCAACAATACTAGATGCCTGTGGATGGAAGAGTGGAAGGTCCATCAAATACCCTGACTATCAGCCCACTGTTGAGTGGCTTTTGCAATAAAAGCTGTACCACTGACAGACTGCATATGGTCGAGAAAAACAAAAACATGAGACAGATTAGTTTCAAGACCAAATAGTGTGGTTGGAGTTGGCTGACTGCACTAGAACAGCAACACTGTAACCCGAAAAAGTGTCAACAGTGGTGACCCAATCTCAATAACCCCCAGAGGGAGCCAAAGTTGACTGATACAGTCAATCAGCCAGGAGTGAGTGGAGGCCATGCCCTGTGCTATGTGGCCTCACTCAAGGCTAGACAAACCAGAGTTTTGACAGGAGTCACAAGCCTGGCATGCAGCAGTAGCCTCGGCAGTAGCCTGAGAAGTGTAAGTCTTTTTTTTTTTTTTGCAGGAAAGGATTCACTCTGCGCTAACATCTGTTGCCAATCTTTCCTCTTTTTTTTTTTTCTCCCCAAAGCCCCAAGCATGACTTGTAAGTCCTTCTAGTTCTATGTGAGCCACCGCCACAGCATGACAACTGACAGGTGGTGTGGTTCCGTGACCGGGAAGCGAATTCAGGCCGCCAAAGCAGAGATCATGGGTGGGACTTGAACGACTAGGCCATCAGGGCTGGCTGCAGAAGAGTTACTCTTCTACTTT